TAGTGTATAACTATGCGAGAGAGATGTACCATTTGTGAGTAATGTATGGCATGTCTTTTTGAAAACATTTTGAATTTTTATTGGAACATTGTACACCAAAAACATATTGTCATGCAAGTTTGTAGAATTTTCTGTCAAAGTTTCTAATTATTACAGTTATTTTATGATAATTTGGAGATAGAAGGATGAATTATCCGTAGCAAACAAATGATTTTTTCATCCATTTCTAGATATGGTCTAGAGTGAAACATATAGCCTATTTTATGGTCAAAAAAGTTTGGAGTATGAAAGACATTTTGTAAAGGTTGTTTCACAAGGTGATTTCTCTATATACATGAATGGAAAACAAACATATGTAAAAAACCAAGAAACAATAATTGATATCCAAACAAATATTGTTAATTGGTAGATCATGATTTTAGAAAGAACTAGGAAAAAGAAACATTTCATTTGGAGTTAGCATGAGGGAGAAAGACTAGTTATAAAATTTCACTGCAGATCAAAAGAAGAAAAACTTTTGTTCATGTTCTTGATTTTTCAGTATTTTCCTGTGTGTTTTCCAAAAACCGTCAAGGTAATGTTAACTACCTAAGTTTATGCGTCAAAACAAATACGGAACCGTCAGGGAATTAAATTTTTTCCTGATGGTTATATGCACTCACAGGTTAATTAGAAATTTCCCTAACGGTTAGTTAATTTCCCTATGTTTCTCGGAACCATCAAGTTAATATTATTTTACCTGTGTGTTTTTCGAAACTGTCAAAATAATGTATTTTCCCTAACGGTTTATGTAATAAGCATCAAAAAAATTGGAAACCGTCAGGGAATTTCAAGTTTCGAGTAGTGATTGTTAATCGAAAACTCTGGATTGTGCGCGTGTGTCAAATTTTGCACCAAACCGAGAGTTACCTCCCCTAATAGAACATGGAAGAACACCCCGTTTACATCAGCCGACCATGCAGACATGCAGCTCGGTGGATCGATTTTGATTCTCCGATAATCATGAGACACAACACGAAGACTATGAAAAGACTATGAATTAGCGAAGAAACTTTGCTTCATTTCATTTCTATTTTGTATTAATTTTTCCTGAATTAGGAGGCCGACGATCGTGGATTATTTTCGTTAGCGTTTGGTTTGCTCCATTTCATTTGAAACCGATATTGTATATGTACATGTTTTTACCTTTTTAGTTACAATCTACTTTTTAATGCAATGAGTTGAATTGAATTTTATTTAAGTTGCCATTTGCCTGAAAAGTTTGGATTTTTTCAAACATATTTTTGGTAATATAAATTTTTAAGAAAAAATATTTTTTTTCTCGTGAATAATAGAATCTAGCCTACTAGCTAAATAGTTTCATAAATTTAATCTGACCCATCTCCTAAAATACTTCCCTTGAGAATTCGAATTCAAAACTTATCTATGAGAGTCTGAATCTCTATCGGTGGTTTCATCTTTCATATTCCAGTGAAAACCGTGCAAAAAAGTTTTATCTCTATGAAACTCTCTTCACTCCCATGAAATTTTTATCATCTCTCTTTTTATTAATATACATTGTCATGTCATCATATTTAATGTCCATAAAACTTTTATGAAACCCTATATTAATACTGGCCGAACCAAGTAACCAGATGTTGGCACACGTGAATTAAGGATGAAAACGGTCGGAAACGGTTGAAAAACTCCTAAATTGTTTTCTACTTTTATATTTGAAATACGAAAACGAAAGCGAAAACGGTAAAACCGGACACGAAAACGAACGCGAACTTACGAAATATCGAGAATTTCGAAAACGAACCAATTCGAGCGGATTTATATCGAACACGGTCGATATACGAAAACTCAATACGGAATACCGACCCGTAGACCAAGTGCATGACTAAGTGCATACATGATCAAGTTCAAGTGCATATAATAATTAACAAGTGCATATTATAGAAACATGAACTCGAACTGAGTCAGAATAATTTTATTAATCTTTGTAGAATAGATGCAGTATTTTATTTTAAAGATTTATTGAGATTTTTCTTTTGAGTAACAAAGATTTATTCGGCTGATGCAAAAATTATCAAATGATTGACTTTGCATATGGGGGTTAAACCGATGAGCTTGATGGGCTATGCCCCAGGTGGACTTTCGTGTAGATGCTGCTGGTTTCCTGACATTTAGCACCATCTCGTGAGGTGAAGAGAGATGAGGCTGGGCGCCGTCTATAAGAGAGGGCAGCTGACCACTAGTAGAAAGAACGCGGTTGCGTGGTGAACAACATATAATTGGACCGTATGACCTGTGCAGTTGGCCAAATTCGGTTTAAACCGAATTTTCAATTCAGAATATTTTAAATTAAAAATAGAAAAGTAGAAAATGGTCGAAAAATATCTAAATCGTTTTCTACTTTTACATTTGAAATATGAAACATCTGAAATGCGAAAGCGAAAGCGGTAAAGCCAGACAAAAAAATGCGGATTCGATCGGATTAAATATAGAAAACGATGCGGTTCGGTTTGAGATATTTCGGTTCCGTTTTCATCTCTTACACGTGATGCTCTTGGGCCGTTGTTCTGCATAGGAGTCCATCGTCAATTCGTCATCCTTGCTCTGCTGGTTGTAGTTCTGTAATGACGCAGCATAAAACGGCAAAAGTCAAAAGAACATAGTCAAAGAGTTGTAGGTGGCCGTTGGCCCGTTGCCGTTTCGTCCTTCTTCTCGGATCTCATCAGTCTCGTTCCCCTTGCCCGCACGTGCGACGGGCACACTGGGTGGTGCTTGATAACTGGTCCGATGACTAAAGTTTACATCTTTTAAAATTTAATTCTGTTGGACTGTTTGATTCATAAGCTAAATTTTAATCCTCTAATCTACAATGACTGATTTATCCTTATTTAATATGCGAGCGTCAAAAGATATGGGGCGTCCAGCGCCCATCCCAAGAAAGTTTAGCCCAATTTATGGTTTTTTAAAAGCAAAAGATTTTAACTCAGTTTTTAGCCATTTACTAATTTTTAGCCTCCTGTTTGGAAAAAAAAAAGGCTGAGGAGCGGGGAGGACGGGGGCGGTGGCGTGGCGTGGCGTGCCAAAGACCTGTGCGGCTGTGCCTACCCTGCCCAACCCGAAGGGGAAGGAAACGCCCGAAAGTTGTTTCGTGCGGACGCAGCCGCCGCGGACGACACGTGGGCTCCACACCAGCGGGCAGCTGGGGCCCACGCCGCAAGTTGCTCTGCGTACGACAAGGACGGTCCCGAAGGTGGACGCGGTGGAGCGCAGACGTTGGCAGGTGGCCCCATGGCGCTCAGTGCGCTTTGCCACTTTGTTTATATTAAGCGTTTTTCTAGGGAGCTCCAATGCTATAGGCAGAAGACAACGATGTTAGCCATAGGCGTCTGAAATCAGACGTATAGATATGGTGCCTGAGCAGCTTCGGCCAAGAGCAAACCAAATAGACCTTGATTCTACTCCATACATACCCCTTGGATCCTATAAAAAATAAAGTCCAATTTTGTTGTAAAAAAAGTCCAATTTGTGCATCAAGAGGGCTCAAGCCTCAAATATCGGACATATTCTGGTGTTGGATTGAGCGATAACTTGTCATGTTATTTAAGATCTTGCATGCCAACCGGTTTCACAATGTCTTTGATCAAGGGCTTCCCTAGAATCCTTTATATATATCTAGGTATATTTTTTTGAATACTTGTATGCGCAATATTAGAGGATGGAGGGAGTACGTAAGAGAAACTCTACCGGATTCTCTTCCCCTTAAAATCATTTATAAAGAACTAAGAAAAACTGAAATTGTACTTTTAGGGACTACTATTGTTGCAGCAGAGTGAGAAAACCCATCGCTTTTTTTTTAATTTGGGTGGGACCCACCTGTCAATGGCTAAAAACATCTTCTATCATGGTGTCCTCTCAATCTCTCTCATTCGTGACATGCTCACCCAGCGTAGCAGCGGCGGTGTGGCCCGCATGCTCGCTTGCCGTGGCAGTGTGACTCACGCGCCCGCCCACGCGATGATGGTGAGAGATGGCCAGTGTGGGCCCGAGATGCTAGTGCTAGAAGGAGAGGAAAATGGATTGAGAAAAAAATTGCCCTCTATTTTAGGGATTGAGTAGGGAAAGAGTACGTGCTCGAGTATTTTTTAACCTCATCCTCCTATATGACAGATTATAGGATTTTTGTTTTTCAATACGTTGGAGTTGCCCTAAGGCCGTAACCGTAGAACCTATAATGTATTGTTCATTCTTGCACAAAATGGTGCCATTTTGTAACGAAATTTGTAGATAAATCCCTATATATCAAAGAAGCCCACAAATTTAGCGCTCCCTACAGGCTTCCACGAATTGACATGAAATGATTGGATGCGACTGCAAAGTTGCAAGATTTCCCAACCGAAATGCTCAAAATAGCGGAATTCACATCATCAAAAAGCATCACCATGAATGCCCTACGCACCGAACCTCAGGTCTTGTGTAGTTGTTGGGTGTAAAGTTTTGATTGTCATATCGAGTATATATAGAGGTGTCGTATAGGGTGTTAGAATATTAATAAAAAAAATAAATTATAGAATTTGTCAGTAAATTGTGAGACGAATTTATTAAGCCTAATTAACCTATCATTAGCACATGTGTCACTGTAGCACTTTATTTTTAAATTCTAGACTAATTAGACTTAAAAATTTATCTTGTAAAGTAGTCGAAATATGTACAATTAATTATTTTTTAGTTTATATTTAAGACTCGATAAATGTGTCTGAAATAGCGTGTAAACTTTCATGGAGAAACTAAACCAGACTAATTTTTAAACGCAGAAAAGGAATCCATCCGACCATCCATAAAAAGGTCGGCGACGCGGTCACCACTCACCACTACGGCACCGCCGCCGCCGCCGCCGCCACCCTCGACCCTTTAAGAGGCAACCCGGGGACGCCTCTCCCATCCACGCGCGCGCCCTACCACACTCCCCGTCCCAAAGACCTAGCCGCGCGCGCCACCCGCATCCCATGGCGGCCACCGCGGCCGCGGCGGGGACCTGGTCCTCCTTCCTCTCCCCGCGCCGCAGTCACAGCGCCGCCGCCTCCTCGTCGTTCCGCGCCGCCGCCTCGCGCTTCCGCTCGCCGGTGAGCGTTCGTCTCGTTGTGGGGGCTTTCTGATTGATGTGTGATGCCTATGAAGTGTTGAGGTCTTGCGGTTGGTCTTCTTTTGGTGTGCGCAGAGATGCGTGCTCGGGAGCGAGCAGCTGCGTGTGGCGCAGGAAGGGAAGCGGATGGGCGGGGCCGAGCCCCGGGTCGCCGCGTGGACGCCAAAGGCGCCGGCGCCGGAGGCCAGGCTTGCCGCACTGCCAAGGGAGCTGCGGGACTCCAGGATGAAGATCTTCTCCGGCACGGCCAACCGCCCGCTCGCTCAGGTGGGGTCTCTGACTCTGTTCGTCCATGTTAGGCCGCTTGGTTCCGTCAGTTATTACAGGAAAGGAAAAACTTTTTTTTTTCATTTTTATGCAACCTGGGGACTATAGTGCTTTATTTCTTGTTCTTCACTGGTTTTAAGTCGTCAATGGCATTGTGCATGATAATTCTACTTATACAGTTACGCGCATAATTGCAGTTGGATTTGGTGCTTTACATGAAAGGGATGTCTCTGCGGTTGAAATTCGAGTCTTTTTTTAAACGTGCAAATTGTTTATTTTATGCATTTTATATCTTTCAGCCACGGTGAATACTGACTTTTGTGCCAGTACTATTAAAATAGTAGCTTTAAGGGGCTTGCACCTTTTCATTTGTATGGTTTCTAGATTTTGATGTTTGATTCACTATGGTTTGCAGCGACATTGCTTCTAAACACACTACTGAAAATTGTAATCTCCTTCTCTGCATTTACTTTCTAGGAAATTGCTGCTTACCTGGGTGTAGACCTCGGCAAGATCCTGATCAAGCGCTTTGCTGATGGAGAAATTTATGTGCAACTGCAAGAGAGCGTGAGAGGATGTGATGTGTTCTTGATCCAGCCCACATGCTCTCCTGTCAACGAAAACCTCATGGAGCTCTTCATCATGATTGATGCATGCCGGCGGGCTTCAGCGCGGTCTATTACTGTTGTTATTCCATACTTTGGTTATGCTAGAGCAGACAGAAAGGTATTAGCTAAATGATACAGTGATTTAGTTTATAACATAGTAAGTTCAGATTCAGAATTTAACGTAAAATATTTAAAAATCAGATTATTTTGAAGCGCATTGCTTCTGCTTTCAATGTGTTTCCTGCCAAAATGCAAATAAAAGCAACACCATCAAAGTAACCTTCAACAATTGAGCTCCTTGTCAAGGATAGCTGTAAGGGCAGTGTACACTGCTGATGAGGATTTGTGATAAAGTTTGCCACTTGTTTGGTTCACCAACTTTACTATGGATCCAAAAAATCTTCCGATGCTGATTTTCATGCAATAACGTTGGCATTTTGTCTTGTACCTCAGCTTTATTGTGGATCCAAAAATCAAGCATTCCTTGCTGCTGCCTTAACTTTGATAAAATCCATCTATTATGAATGATTTCTATTCCTCTATTTGTATTACTTTAAATACTGGTACCACTATGGGTTTCCAGGTACTCCCTCCATTCCAAATTATAAGACGTTTTTGGCTTTTCTAGATACATAGCTTTTGCTATGCACTTAGATATACACTATGTCTATTTCTCTAGAAAAGCCAAAATGTCTTATAATTTGGAATGGATGGAGTATTAAGAAGGATCACAGCTGCCCAACTTAAATTAAAGAAAAAAATACTGCTCCATTTGCTTTAATATCTGAACATCTAGCTTTTCTTTTGTGTCTTTTGTTTAACTGCACAATGTCTTTGGTAACGCAGGCACAAGGGCGTGAGCCCATTACTGCCAAACTTTCTGCAAATTTACTTACTGAAGCTGGTAGTGACCGTGTCATTGTATGTGATATTCATTCTACGCAAGCGTTGGGGTACTTTGATATTCCTGTGGATCATATATATGGGCAGGTAGTGAGAGTTCTTTCTTTACATCGTTTGATTTGAATGTTGCATCTCATTGAAATCCTCATCTGAAATTTCTAGCTGATTACTAATTCGTGTCATCCTTCGTATCTGTAGCCTGTGATTCTGGATTACCTGGCCAGCAAGACAATATCCGAAGATCTTGTGGTTGTTTCTCCTGATGTGGGTGGTGTTGTTAGAGCACGTGCATTTGCTAAGAAATTATTGAATGCCCGTTTAGCTATTGTTGATAAAAGAAGACAGGGTCACAACATGTCAGAGGTGAGACCTTTGGATTGAACCAATCATCATTTCACAGCCCCACCCTTTTATCAAGGTTCTAGAAACGGGATAGGAGTTTTCCTGGTCAGCAGACTATAAAATCTGTCTTTTTTTCTTTTTCTTTTCTTTTTAAGTTCTTTGAGTTTGAAACTTCTCAATACAATGATTCACTATATTCTTTATAGCTGTATAATTTCATTAGTACTACAATTGTATGCAAGTATTTTTATCACCTGATGTTTTTTAAGCTATCTATGTGGGTCATCCATGTTTCGACTTGTGTTGATCTGTGCAATAAAATGCAATTATAGCTTGCAAAATTACAGAGGCTTATATCATTTTGAGTTTCCTACTTCTCAGCACTGTTTTCCTTCAGGTCATGAACTTAATTGGTGATGTGAAAGGAAAAGTGGCTATCTTGATTGATGACATGATTGACACAGCAGGTTTGCAATCTGATTTTTAGCTTTTTGGTTGCATGCCTGCATGTATTAGTCAGTTTATTCCATCCAATAGTCACATGATTTTTAACATTTTGATTAAATCCAGGGACAATCACTAGTGCAGCGGCTCTGTTAAAGCAGGAGGGAGCAGAAGCTGTATATGCTTGTTGTACACATGCTGTTTTCAGGTTTTCTAGTTGGCTTTATTGGATATACTTCTGTTTTGGGTATTTTATGGCAGTGATCCTATATGATGCGGCTTCATCGCTTGGCACTTTCTAATATTTCTCTGCAAGTACATTCATAACACCGTACAAAAAAGTACAGCAGCGGCAGTAGTTAGTAGTTAACATTTGTAGGTCATATTAACTTTGCTAATCTTGTGGGCACCCATATCACTAGCATTAGCAGCTAATCTTAACGATATGATTGCTAGAATTGTATGCAGTATGTTTTGTACCCCTTTTTTTACTAGCATTTTCATGTGATGTTTTTAATTTACTTTCATGTATATTCAAAGTTCTAAAGTTTGCTCACACATCCGCTATTATCATGCATCCATAATCATCATGCATTTGAGAATGGAGGGAATACTATCACCTATAATTTGGACTGCTCAACTCCAATTATAGAAGTAACCTTAAATTAGTTTTTCATGGCACCTTCCTGTTGTACATTTATTAGAGTACAAATTAACTCATGCACGGTTGAGTGTGAAATTGATTTGTGGTGGATGCCATTTTTGTTAAGGAAAAATTTCATATAGGTGAATATAAATTGCATTGTTTGCCATGGGTCACTCGTTAATCAAGGTTTACTTTGATCAGACTTGAAAATGGTGTCAATTTGCAACATCACAATCAGGAATACGAGGCCTCGGAAGGTGCCTGAGGAAATCTTGTCTGCATCACTCGTCTAAATTTGACTACTTCTAATAAATTTGCTTGTTTGATGCTCAGTATGCTTGGTGACCTGCACTTTATTTCAGAAAGTAGCCGGATTCTTTATTTGGTTTGAACAGTTGTTTTCTTTATATTCTAACATGCTTATTTCCTTTAGAAGATTTTTATATTAACATGGTCGACTTTGCAGCCCTCCCGCAATTGAAAGGCTTTCTGGAGGCGTCTTTGAGGAAGTTATTGTGACAAACTCCATCCTGTTGCCAGAAGACAAATGCTTCCCTCAGCTGACGGTGCTTTCAATGGCGAACCTTGTAGCGGAAACAATTTGGCATGTTCATCGCGATGGCTCTGTCAGTAGCATCTTCCAATAGCAGAAACGCCTGACATCATTTCGTCTTTACATTCGTGTGGTATAGAGAAGGCACCCAGTGCCTGTGCTGTTTGCCTATTTTCATAAGGACTCAATTTTGGCGGCAAGATATAATAAGGTGGTATTGCCGATGTACGGGTGATAATAAGGTGGTATACCAGGTGCTACGGTGTACGTGGGGATAATAAGGTGGTATGCTGGTGTATGTGGGTGATCAATTCTGCGTCATGTTACTAAAGTATGTTCAGCTCCTGACCTGCCTCTTATGTGGAGGCTCAGTCATAGTAATTGGATTGGATAATGTGGGGTGCGAGGGGTTCGGGTGTTAAATGTTCATGTGATCCTGACAAGATGACAATGACAGAATGGTTAGCTTTGTTGATTGACTTTGTTACATACAGTTTGAAGATGACATCTTGTGAAGTGTACTATTTTACTGTTTCAAGTACATGGGTTCAGGTAGGTAGGTGGGCCTTTTTAGGGCATGCACACCCACATGATTTAGGGCCCATCTGGTAGAGCTCCGGCTCCAGCCAAAATAGCTTTAGTTATGGCTTCACCTATAGAGCAGATTCAGTTGAGGAGTTAAATCAGTTTTTAGACCGTTTAGTAAAACAGCTTCACGTAGTACATAAAAATAATGAAATGACTATATTGCCCTCTTATCTTTTTTTTTTTTCCTCTCCTATTTTTGTTCCTTATTAGTTCCCTTCTCTCTACTTATCCTCGCACACGGTCTTTTTTTTGCGATTTATCCTCGCACATGGTCGCACTGACGGCTTGGCCTTCTCCATAGCAATCTTCTTCTTTTTTTTTTTTTTTCATTCTTATTTTTCTCCTGTTCCTCTTCCTATTCCAATTCTCTCTCCTTATCTCTTCACTGCACGCAAGACACGCAAGCACAACGCCTCCTCATATTCTCTAATTTCTCTCTCCTTATCTCTTGTGAACCTCTCCCTTCTTCCCTCACCTTCCAACACATGGAGCACAGAGGAGGGCTTCGACCGCGAGCATAGAGGAGGCCTCGCCTGTGCTCCACCTCGTCGTTGTGTCCCGTGCCCGCGGTCTACATCTCTATCTCGCTCGTGTCCTGCATCTCTGTAAGTGCATCTAGCCCTTTAGTGGGTTTTGGTGAATTGAATGACAACACCATTAAAGATCTAACAAGTTTGCTAAGTGTTGAACAAGAAATTGAGTTTATTGTATACACTTGTGAATTGTGAAATGAGAAGTGTATATAGGTTCAACAAGAAGGCAAACTTGATGATATGCCACATAGTGTTGAAATGAAGGCTAAATTGTATATTGTTGTATTGAAAGATTATAAAAACAATCTAGTTCAAGCAAAAGACAACAATGCAAATGGAATCAATGAAATGACTTCTATAGTGTGGAATATCATAGTATCATGAGAAAGCAAGCATATTTGGTAAATTGTAAATGATACATGAGTTGATGATTTTGGATTGATCTCTATAATGGCTTGCTTTGCATGAACAAGAAGAGTTGGATAGTGGACTAGCTTTGATCAAGGATTGAAGAATGAATCAAGAGTGCATAAGTGAGGATATGTCGAGCAAAGGTGAAATGACAAAGGAGACAATGTATAATGGATATAAGATGCTCTCTACATTGGTTTGCTTGTATGGATAAAGATTTGGAAAATCACTTTGCAATAATATGATCAACCTAGAAGTATGAAGATAGAGATTGAAGTGAGTGTTAAGAGTGTCAAGTCAAAATAAAGAGGATATAAGGAATCGTGAATTGGCTTGACCATATTGATGTTGATCCATATATATCTCTATGTGAGTCAAACTGAAGCTTGATTGATCTCAACATTCATATCTAGAAGATATTCAAACAAGGATCATAATAATTAAGAAATGGATTTTTCAATGGATGCTTAATACGATATGACTTGAGTATGACTTGATAATGTGAAGATATCAAGGAAAGGGCTTCGAAGGACTAAGCGGATGTGAAGGGCAAGCGATGGCTTGAGGACCGAGGTACCATGGCTAAGGTAAAGAAGAGAGTACTTGCATTGAGTCGAGAAACTAATCAAGCTATGAGGACTCATATTATGTTGATGATCAAATCATTAGTGAAAGTGACTTGAAGCCATTGAGGTAAACTCATATGTATGGAAATGGTATTGAAAAGAAATGGTATATGAAAATATTGAAGACTCAAGTGGTTGAAATGGTTATATTCTCTTGATCTTGAGTATAGGTATGCCGTACTATCAAGGGGGATGCAATACGAATCATAGACAAATCTTAAGTGCTCAAACTAACTGAACCCAAGTGCTAACATGAAAGAAATACATTATCACTACACTTGCACTTGTTGATCTTGATACTTGTTCTTGGCTGGGCTGGATAGCCCTTGAAACAAGCTTTTCGAAAAGTCCAAGATCACTGAAAACAGAGTTCAGAGTAAAAAGTTACGTCATTTTCTGTAACGTGACGTGTTGTTTTTCACAGCTATGGCATTGCCGTGAATTTTTGCAACAGTGCTGCACCACGGCAGTGCCGCACCTGTACAGGTTATAACGGCTAGTTTTTGAACTACAACGGCTAATTTTGGGATTGGGTCTATATATACCCATCCCATGTCTCCTGGTGAGGCTGCTGCATTCTAAACCCTTCCCAAGCCATTTGAGAGCTCTCTCTAATCCCTCTCTCTTTATGAAAGTGAGTGATTAGTGATTGATTAAGTGTTAGAGAGCAATTAAGAGCAAGCCAATCCTTAAGCACTTGTTGGGTTGTGTCAAGTATTCGTTGCTCATTTGTTACGCTTGGAGGGGAAGCCTCCTAGATGGCTAGGCGTCGCTCGGCGAGCTCCTGTGCTTGTGGTTAGCCACGGGAAAGTTTATAATCACCCCATTGATCTAGTGGAAACCCCTCATCTTAAGAGTGCACTCTCTTGACTTAAGAACGAGGATAAGGGTTGCAAAACCCAAGCCTTAATGACCGCCTCAACAACGTGGACATAGGCAAACCTTGGTGGCGAGCTGAACCATGGGATAAATCGAGTGTCTATCTGTGTTCCACTCGATCCACTTAGTTGTGCGTGTTTGTGAGTGTAGGTACTTAATGGACTTGTCACTGGACATCTCCACGCATATCTCCAAATTTGAGTTCTATGCACAACTTGTGTTGATTTATCTATAAGGGCGCGACAGTGCTGCATTTTGAGTGAGGTAGTGCTGCGGTGCGGCAGTGCTACATCATTAGAGCAGCAATGTCGCGCACTTTACTAATCCGCTGTAAGTTTTATTTATTGTTAATTTTTAGAAGCGTCTGTCGACCCTCCTTAGGAGGCGTGGAGGTCCTTTCAATCTCCATCTCGCCTGCATTTCGCATCGCCGTGTTGCGCCCACGGTCTGCATTGCCGGCGCGCCCGCGACCGCACCCTGCCTCGTCGTCGCACCCGCACCGGGTCAAAAGGGTTCGGGCCTGCATGGTGTCAGAGGGAGCGGTGGGGAGCCGCTATTTTTAGCTTCACCGTGCGTGAGCTGCTTGTCTCAGCGGGTTTGTCGGAGCTTCATGCGAGGAGCACTTTGGTTTTCACCCGTTTGGTAGAGAAAGAGGTAAAATGGCTCCAGGATCTACTGGAGAATCCATACCAAACGCCCTCTTAAGACAACCAACGATCCGTACATTGTTTGTCGTTGTTTAAATTTTCTTTGGAAAATTACGACCCCTTAACTTATGTTATGCGTGTAATGTAACAATGGAATTTTATGGAAGAGTTTTGCTCCTTGATTCTTCAGCTCTGTTCCTTGATTCTCCGATGTCCATTGGATTCCTAGAAGAGAGCAGGGTGAAGCAGTTTTTTAGCTCCCAGCTTCAATGTAAATGGCCTAATCCCATATGAATCAGTTGACATTTTAAGTGTTTAGTTGATTGGAGTGTTTCTCTTTAAAGAAGCTGGGCTCTCCTAAACAGCCCCCTACGAGTCGTATGGTAATGTTAACTCAGCACAATGATATGCTAGTGTTTCTTAGTTGTAAAATTTTTAATTTTAGCTTAGGAGGTGGTTCCTTTCTAGAAAAACTTTAGGTCAAACATCATCCAAAACCGTACCTGCCATCGAATGTGACAAAGACAAGATGGCTTATGGACACTAATGTACTTGCCTTATGTGCGAGGATCGATGGATCAAATGTGATCCGTTGAAAGGTCCTAATGGCTAGAGGGGGGTGAATAGCCTAATAAAATACAACAACATAACAAAATGTGTTGACAATCCGAAGCGAGTGTTGGCTAGCCTACTAAAATGCAAGCCACCTACCACAATTCTATTTCGAATAGTGTATGTCCACACAATAGCTATGACACTTAGCTAAATTAGTGTGCTCTCAAAGACTAACTAAAGAGCAACACTAATCAAACAAACAAGCTCTCACAACTAGCTACACTAAAGAGCTTGATAACTAGTTTTTATGTAATGTAAGAGTGAGCAAGAGAGTTATACCGCCGCGTGTAGTGGTAGGAACCAATCAATCACAATAATGAATACCAATGTAGACCAATCACCTCGGAATCAAATGATGAACACAATGATTTTTACCGAGGTTCACTTGCTTGCCTTAAGCAAGCTAGTCCTCGTTATGGCGATTCACTCACTTGGAGGTTCACGCTACCGATTGGCATCACCGCCAAACCCTCAATAGGGTGCCGCTAACCAACACAAGATGAGGATCACACAAGCCACAAGCAATTTACTAGAGTACCTTTTGGCGCTCCGCCGAGAAAGGTCAAGAACCCCTCACAATCATCACCACGATCGAGTCGGAGACAATCACCTCCTCCACTCAACGATCCTTGTTGCTCCAAGCCGCCTAGGTGGCGGCAACCACCAAGAGTAACAAGCTTAGGCAGAACGAAACACAATCACCAAGTGCCTCTAGATGCAATCACTCAAGCAATGCACTTGGATTCACTCTCAATCTCACTATGATGATGAATCAATGATCTAGATGAGTGGGAG